GTAGCTTGTTGACGTACTAATTTAATTGACGCATTGTTCCTTTCCTCTCCTTCTTTTCTCTCGATCTATTTTTTTCTTCGACATGTTTTTGCATTGAGGCGCGATCGGTCGCATCGTAATCGCAAAAGGACGATACTTGGATCAAAGTCCTTTATACAGGATGTTCGAGACGCGTGCATAACACGCATTATACGGTCGTATGTCGGCGGAACGAAATGTAACATTAGCCTAATTATAAAGTCTCCAAATTTAGAGACGTATATTTCATCTTAAATTAAAACGGTGAGTATTATATGGTATGTTTTAATGACTGTAATAATTGTATATTTATGAATATTTACATTTGATAGTATTTTTACACGCGTACCGTTTCATTAAATATATATAATTAATAACTTTTATAACGTCACAATTTTCCACGCACATATAATATATAATACCCGTACGAACGAAAGGGATCGCAGGGTGAATCGCATTTTTACTACAGAAACCCGCTCTCTGACCTACTTTCGCTCAATTTAATCTGTATTCTGATCGTACCCCATCAGTTTTTACATCTTATTTGAAGCAGAAGCTTTCAACCTTGGCTTGACTCGCTCTGTTATTCTCTGTTCGTCTATCTTTCCTATAAAATCAGAATGATCAATACAATCTCTTTCGCTGAATCTTTATTCTTCTGCTTTAATCACCTTTTCTTTTTTCTTTTATGAAGAATGATCAAAAATAATCTTCAAAAAATATATAGTTAATTGTCTGGAAAGAATGTATTCAGCACGGAATCAAAGTAAAATTAAAACGAGAACATTAGTCGCATCGTTAATTGGTTCGTTAACTTCTATCCCATTAATTGCATCATCCTTTGAATGATAACGCGAGAATCGTACTATTTACAATTTACGTTATTATTCCGTGAAAATTGAAGAATGAGACGAGAATAGTAATGATCTGTGAGTAACATTATGTTCGATAAAATGTTTGTAAAAAAATTGTATGTAAATATATTTGCACTCACAATCAGAAAACATAATGATGGCCATTATAAAGATGACAACTTTACAAGTTTAATATGTAGAATTAATGCGAGTACATAGTTAAATAAACTATTTTTTATAACAATAACTTATTCAACTGTATACATTAATTGTCCATATAAAACTTATACCATTATCTTTTTTATGGTTACTATTATAATATTTTTTTTTTTAATGCATGCAGTTGAGAGCGAAGAGAGAGAGAAAGAGAGAGAAATCTGTAACAAAATGTTTATGGTCGAAGTTTCATTCACGACAGTATATTATTAATTAATTGCGGTAAAATTAGTACTAATCGATAGTATACGCGATAGGCAGCTACACGTTTCAAGATGCATTTGGTACTTTTTGATGCGATGTTCTTAATTCTGATCACAAACATTTGACAGACTTTTTTAGATGAATCCATTTAAACTATTTCCTTATTCGATATATTTATATTTTAAACGAAAATTACAAGAAATTACTTGGAGCAAATAGTAAAGTGGAAAATTATGTTAAAAATTTTTCGTATAAATGCAAAGGTTGAATGCCTCTGTTATTTAAATATTTATTTTACTTTCCTAAAAAAAATTGGTTAAAAAGTTACGATTTTTATAATTTGACTTAGAGAGAATGATGAAAAACAAAGAAAAAAGGTGGTATAATACCTCCTCCAATTTATATATATATATATATACTCTGCTTTATGTTAAAGCATTCTTAATCAAATCCACTTACCTTCGCTCGATATTATTGGAAGAAAAACGATCGAAAGTTTTAACATGTTTACGAATTGTAGCTGTGTATTCTCTCAGGCGAGCATTAAATTCCGTATTTCTCGCAAGCGAAATTCTGCACGAATTATCTTCACAATAGAGAATATTGAATGACCGGGACAGAATCTTGATATCACTTCCGTTACTAAGCGAAGGAACTCAGTTGCTGCCGTAATTATTTTCACCAGATTTGATTCGATGAAGCGGGTTTGCGCATCGTGTCGACCGGCAGAAACACGTCGTCGTCGTCGTCATTGTCGTCGTCGTCGTCGTCGTCGTCGTCGTCGTCGTCGCTCAATAAGTCGATATATACTTGGTTTCGTTCTTCGTGTGTCGGTTTTTCACTCTGCACAACTTTTTATTTCTTCAAGCATTCCAAATAATAATGTAAATTTCTGCAAAATCGCAAATTCACGTTTTCTTCAAGTTTAAACAGACCACAACTTTACGCCAAGCATTACACCGTCGTAAAACTGTAATAGTAGGATTTCCGCAAATTTTCTCCAACTTTGTCTTTAAACAACAGTCTTCAAACATGGTTGATAGAGTTTGTTACGCGTCGTGTTTCCGCAAGGACATATCTACATAGAAATTAACAAAGCTTAACATAGAAATTAACTAAGTTTGAGATCTCCAATTCAAGTAATTTTATAAAATAAAGTTATTTAGAAATATTTATTGGTCAAAGTTTTCATACTTGTTTATAGCAGAATAAGAAGAAATATATTTTTTTGATTTATTTATATTATTGTGAGAATTACATGATAAAACTCAGGAAAATAAATAAGCTGTTACGTTGTCGAGCAAATAAAAATAATCGGAAGATCTATGATTGCATATCTGGCAATTATTCACACTGAATCTATATTAAAATGACGTTGAATTTCTTGACAAACGTTTCCAGGAGAAACGAAGATATTGCTTGGTCGTTCTAATTTAATTAAGTTATATATATGGCTTGGAAATTCAATTTCTGCGTTTAATTGGCGTGCAAAAAGAGAGAAGAGTGTTATTTGTGAGAATGACAAATTGGAGATCCTTGTTTTGATACGAATGGAGGTCTCCAAGATAAGAAATCTCATATCGATTTCTTCGTCTAACCGCAGTCAGGACATAACTTAAATCAATACCACGGCGGTTTAAGGGCGAAATCCTACGGAAAATATTCTCTCATTTTGTGAAAACGTGCTCCAATCATTGTTACAAGCGTTTCTTACGTAATCTTCTTTCACCGATGAAAGTTTCACTCCATTTCCGTCGCTATGGATTTCCTTCATTGAATATTGCTTAATTGAACCCATCATGAAATTATATAAACTTTCTGCCATGTGCAACATTTCCGTGAAAACAACAATAACTCGATGCCAATATTTTAATTTACATCTTGAAAGAATTGTATTACTGAGATCATCCTTACTTTTATCGTTTGTTTTACGTTGTTTAAATATTACACAGGATTTACTTCTCTCTCATATTCTCCAAATTAATTGGAATAAATCGAGTCACGCTTTAATTCTATTATATCCGTTTCATCCGTCGAGAGATAATTCCTTCGCGAATCGATCCTGATTCTCGCCGATATGTTTCCGTCACATGGATTTCTTCTCTGCGGAAAATGTAACGATTCCATTCCGGAATCTCGCACGTGTCGGGAGTCGAGACCTCGATTATTTACGAAAGTGTGATACACTCGGCAGCCGACCTTCGGCGGCGCTTTTCTTTAGCGACCTCATTATCCGTTTCCCCTCGCCATTCTCTTCTATCTCACAAATTCTAACCCCGCGGCCAGCATCCTCGTTAGCACGAAAAAGTTTTTCAGCTCACGAATTGCTCTTGCCCGGCATGGCATCCTGTCTCCGGAGTCCTTCCGCCGCTGGGATAGCAAGACGTATCTTCCATTCCTTCCATTGCGACATCATTTATTCATCATAGCTCGATGATATCCGGCGCGCGAAACTGCACTTTGCTGCAAAACTTCACCTCTTGTACGATCTTATTGCCGCAATTGTCCTCGTTTAGATCAACGTCGCTCTGCGTACCGTCGCCATCGTCATCCTCCTCCTCCAGATCCTCCAGAACGTGTCTGTCTAAACTCCAGCCGCTAACTCCACTGCCAACCGCAAACTTTTTTTTCTTCTTCTCACGGATTTTATTCTGGCGAACGGATCGCCGTGGTTATTTGTATCTGAAAGTCGAGCAAAACGGGCGCGCTTTGGAGCGTGAGTATGCTCTTATCGATCGTGAGTTCGTTGCCTTATGTGTAAAGTTTATCCTGTCTCATTTTACTTCTTATAATATGCGGATCACATGAAAAGATGCTCTCGAATATGTACCGATTCAGAAAATAATTTTCTATTAGTGATTATTAGATATCTCGATTTCAACAAGTTGACCATTTGCCTTTTTTTTTGTGTAATATAAAAATGAAATGAACAATGATAAATTACAATACGGATATTTTTGCAAGCTCAAACATTTTTACGTATCCATTGTAATCGTTGCGAATATTCTAATCACGTCGTTATTATATATTGGACACGCAGCGCGAGCTGCGAGTGATATTCATATTTCGATAGAAACATGATCGGTGTGCGTTTATATGATCCTCACGTTACACGTTACGACCCTTGCTACTCAACTCTCCAAATGTATCGAATGTTGTAACATACGCAGATTGAAACGCGGTGCCGCCAGGACAAAATATTTTTCATCATCAGGTTTAGCGTCGTAAAATAGTTTGCATCGTCAGTTCTACGAGAATTAGGTCAACATCGCGTATTATTTTCATTATGAACAATATTCGTATATTGCAAGAAAAAATTCGTACAACATTTGTGTTATTTTCTCATTATAACGTCGGTGTTTCTTTTTCATATTTTCTCATATTTTAACTTTTAAAAAGATAAAATTAGTTCTTATTGGACTATATTGTCGCTTATTATATTTGTAATATATGAACAACAATTTGAAAATTATTTACAAATACTTATACAAATAAATAATAATTGAAGGTGTTAAATTTTTGTATAAATAATTATTAGATACCTTTTTAAGTTTTATGCTTTAAAAATATACCTTGTCAGAAACATTATTCGACTTTTTTTATTATCTTTTTATTATCAAGTAACGATCTTTATATTTGTTTCTTCTTATATTGTTTGTCTGAAATTTTATTTGGACAAATTACTTTATGTTCCAAAAATCGACTTACCTTTCTGGTAAAGGGCATTCCAAAATTCTGCAGAAAGCCAGGCCGACTGCCACTATTAATATTAGAAATAAAACCGCATACACTACGAACAGATGAACTAAAGAAAAAATATAAAGTGTCTTATGACACCATCTATTGGGCGTGTACAACGAAAATTCGTATTCCGGCCACATTGCATGCAGTATCCAGTAATGTCCTAAAACAAAAAGGAGAACAACATAATATACAACGATGAACGTAGAAATTAATTATCCAACTTAAAGTCTAAGAGTGCCGTCTTATTTCATGTATTGCGTAATTAATTAGAGACATTTTGCGTTACGCTAAACTCATTTCCATGTGTCATGGAGTGTTACACATTCGCGTAATCAATGAATGCTGATCTTTACTATTTCTGTTAGGACAGTTTAAAAGAAAGATATATTATCGTGTACGCCACCGAACATTTTGTGTTTCATGAGATATATGGAAATAAAATTCCGTGTAACAGAAAACACCTCTAGTTGGTTACATGATACGCGTTAGACGAAAAATCTGTGCCATGGGACAGCATCCTGAACAATGAGGAAAAAATCAAGTAAAATATTATTAAGTCATCAAATTATTTAATTCATTATGTCGAGGGATTTTTCCAAAACATACATAGAAGAATTTTCCTTGTATTCGATTCATTTCGACTCGATCAGAAAATCTTGTTTTTTTATATTGAGCTCAAAAACTTTTGAAATAATAACGATCTATGTGACATATATATGTCATAAGTAATTAAGCAGTCTACAATTTCATCCTGCATTCCGATCAACGAATTGTGACATGTTGCCGTACGAAATATTGCACGACAGTGCTTCATCACGAACAATTAAATTGTCATAAATAATGAATTTTTTAATCCCGAAATTTTTTTCTCGCATATAGATTTAATACGCATATTTTCAACACTTCATACTCTTTGCTATTTTACGTAAATCCATATTAGATTTTATTTAAAAAAAAACTAGAATGAAAGAAAAATATAAAAAGTCTAATTAATCCATAAATCGATATATACGCAGCACAATATTTTATAATTTATATCGATAATTTATAAAAAATGATGACTCTTGTGCTTTAGTAGCGACATCATTAATGAACTCTTATATGTTAATGATGCTGTACTACTAAAGCTTTTGATACTTTAATATCGATTCATTTACGGTTAAAGTTAAAGATAAAATATGTTTTTAAAATCATTTATTGCAACTTGTATTGCAAATATAAGCAAAGTTCAGCCACTTGATATTTTCGTCAACGTAAAAACAACGTAAAAATTCGCTTATAGCATGAGAAAGCACTGCGCAATTAAGATCAACATGTAAGGAGATTAAACATAACATGCTGTAATTTGTAGAATGATATAATAATATCGTAACGGAATTGTTTCTGGAGCTTTGTACGCCATTTCATTCATTCAAAGTTCTCGAGAGTGCTTACGTTCAGCTCTAATACGCAGAAGGTTTCTGTTGGATTCGTGAATTATCTCAGAGAATGTTATTTATAAAATATATAGAAAATAGTATAATACAATTAAATTTATTGTTGAAATATAATGAAATATGAATAATTAAAATAATGAAATAAAAACAGAAGAAACAATATGAAAAACAAAGAGATAAGAAAACTAATTGAAAATAAATATAAAAATTATTTCATTACTTATAAAAAAATGTTAGAATAGTACGAAATTTGATCATTTTTTATTTATAATTTGATCTATCTTGTACATAATGATGATCTTTTAATATTTAATCACGCGTTTCTATAAAGTTATTATAGAATCATAGAGCCGAGTTATGAAACATGTGTTTTCCTAATCTGACTTATGCTTTGCATTCGTTCAGTAAATCCTCCGTGCTTTAATGCTTCGAAAGTTTGCGGGTTACCGGCGCAAAATATAACACGTTGCGTACAATTTCGGACAAAATTTCTTGCTCACCTAACACGAACCACGCGACCAGGAAGCACGACAAAACTATGGAGAGTAATTTCATAGGCGAGACGTGTGGTCTGTTGGCAGAATGGGACGAGACTTCCGGCCTCCGAGAGCGTATCTGGGAATACAGCGCCCAAAACATTCGCACAGCGCCCAGAACTCCGCCGATCAGCATGTACACGGGAATGTATGGCTCTTTAGGGCAATCCTTAATGAACTGCACACCTGTAAAAGTAAATTAAAATATTGATTTTCGACACGTTCGTCGTTCATTAAAAGCAAATGCAAACTCTTCATATATTTTATTTATTCGTGTTTGATCTGAATTTGATATGGTTTCAAAAAAAACCTATCGTGCGTATCGAAAATTAATACACAATGTGTATTTTTTATATTTTTTAAATTTAAAGTGTAAAATATTATCTCTAGTTAAACATATAAGACATATATGGAAATTTCCATGTTACGTTGTGCATAATAAGTGCGATATATAATAATAAACTTGATAATTGATATTATATGACTTCTGCCTTCTCGCTTTCTCTTGAACTTGTTTTATTAGTAAACATTTTATGATATCGTCTTCCTTTTGTTCTTTTTATATCTGTAACGCAAATACTTCATAGTTTGAGTAACAAGTACAAATAATACATGATATAGTAATTTATTTAGTATACTACAAATTTTTTTTATTGTTCTTTTTCTTTGAATAGAAAAGGAGAAGAAGCACTTCTTAACCATCGTATTCTTGCCCATCAATTAAGATCTAACGTATATCTGACGCGCATCATTATTTTGCACTTTTTCTAACGCCAGTGAGGAATAATTTAGCATTAATTGCTTGTTGCCTAGAGTCTATTTCGTATATCACGTCCTGGTTCGACGTTCGACTTAGGATAACATGTATACTACGGAAGGTTCTCCGCTGCGCAACGTAACTTGAGTAATGTGTACCTCGTTATTATGCACATCTTTTGTATGTATTAATTTTCTGCTACAGCATAATCCTCGACAGTTTTTCGAAGAATTTATTTCGTGACATTCGCTGCGATGAAAAATCAATATCGTCGTCCTACATATTTTGATAGACAAAGAGAGACACTTTGTTATTTTTGAAAAGTTAAAAACCCCAAGGAAATATTTTATGTTATTTTAACTTCGTATCTTTATTATCATTATTTTGTAATGAGCCAATCTTATGAGCTCCAATTAAATATTTAATATATAACGCGTATAAGATCAATTTTGCTAAAGTATCTTAAAACTTAGCTCTATATATATATATAGATGGATAGATACAGATTTGAAAATAATTTTATTAGATCATCAAAATAATTATGTAAGACGCTTAAACTGGTTATTAGAATTTTAAAATTTTTGCAACATTATCATCAAATTTGAACATCTTACTACTATAATTATTTTGATAGTTTATTCAAAAATTAACAAAATTAGTAACAAAAAAAGTAAAAAAAGTAACAAAATTATTTTCTGATCTCTACATTCTAGCGAAATGTTCTTTCCATAGAAAGAGAAATTTTCTCGAAATCAATCAGAAATTGTGATATATCGATTATTTTCTTTCATCTTTACGTATACGAGAAATGAAGAAATTTTTTGAACAACGGCATTTCAATATATCGAGAACTCAATATGCTTGACATTATTCGAATTAACCTTTAGATTTATGCGGTTCATTAAATTTGCACAGGGCAAGTCGCAATCGATGACTTCCATTCCATTTTTGGATCGTGATTTACGAAAGATTAAGTCGTATTTGGAGTCACTGATTTGCGACCACTTTTGTGATTTATGTACCTACGTCATTATTATCGATTGCATGTTCTTGCCAGGTGGTTCGTCAGAGGGTCAATGCACCGGACTTATATTAAATCAGGTTGTGCGTCTATGCTCCCTACTGCGCGAGTAACCTATGCCCGAGAAATTAAATATGCTTGCATGCTGCAAGCTCAACACGCTAACGATTCGCGTGTCGTAATCCTGGTAGCATTAATTAGCTCGGAAATGATGTCGTATATTTCGTGGAATCTCAACCGAATTGACCGGAAGGGGAAATGTGCTATAATTTGCGTGAATAGAAACTTAAGAGATTTATCGTGTTAAAATTTAGTTATATCAAAATTATATGTACCCAAATGTTGAAAAGAATTACACACGAATAAAATATCATCGAGAATTGAAAAATTTTATTTCGTAAAGTTTTAAAAGATTAAAAGATTTGTTGATAAAAATAAGATTTTATTTATTTTGAACTACCGCAAATATCTTTCCACATATCGCTGTGAACATCTATCAAATATATGCATTTTGTTGATCGAAACTTTATGTCATGATAAAGAGGAAAGAAAATAATATACTATTTACGTCTTGAATTTACTTTAGACGATCCATAATTTGCATCAGATTTTAAGATAGAATTCTATTTATAATTCTATTTATTATTTTATATGTCGCGTATCTTAAAATACATTATATCTAATTTTAAAATGTTTTTTTTTATTAAATGATAAAATTATAAATAAAATTTTTTTCTATAAATTTTAAAGTATATACTTTATTACAAATTGTTCAAAATAGACTTTATTTTGAATTTTACACTATCAGGAAGTTACAGAGGAAACGAGATTCTTATTTATCTGACCGACAAATTATTTTTAGTTTATCCCGAAATCTAATTGCACTATAAATTTAATTGCATTTAATTTTTAAAATATGTTATTCGAAATATTATTATATATTAAATATTTACAAAGATTAAGTATATCAAGAGTAATATTTAATGACGAAATTACACCCACGAAATTATATAGGTGACAGTAATGTCATATTGCGAGAAATATTATTAATTGACATGACGAACTTTAGAAAATGTCAGCTAATAAATCTTTTCACTGAAGAGAAATTTCAAGATTTTTATTTATCTCAAACAATTAATGCAAATTTCTTATTCATGGCAGCGCGGAATGTACTTCTGCTAGAATACTGATAAAAAAATCTTATCTCTTACACTGATTGGTGTCTTTCACGTGAAATATTTAGGAAATTATCTTTTGTTATCGGACTCTGTATTTTTAACAAGTTGAATTTTGAGATTAGTAGAAGAGAGAAAAGCGGTTAAATACAGAGCTTTAGTGATGGGTACTACGTTAAAAATTTTCTTTGATATTTGCAAAATTATCTTTGTCGGACTATGCGTAAAACTATTCCCTTAAGAGAGGTTAAAGGGGCAATAAAAGAGCTTCAATTCTCCCAAGAGATATGCAATAGAGGAAAATTTACATCAGAAAAAGCTACAAGGTTTTGTGAAGTTTATTGCAACACAAAGAAAGTTAAAGAGAGCATCTTGTTTAATCACTCATTTTACATCATTCTTTTAAACATATCCTTTTACACGTAAAATATTCATATAATAATCGTTAAAAGCAATATCGAGAAAGTATAACGTATTGAGAACAAGCAAGGTAAAAAAGATATTAAATGATGATAGAGTGAAAAAAGTGGCGCTAATAATACTTGAATTTTTAAAAGCGCCATAGATCAAAGAATAGTCAGAGGCTATATAAGTTTTTTTCCCTAACAGTCTCACGAAACTCTGTCGTTATAGTTCTTAAGTATAGATATACTATAGATATCGATCGTCTTTTTATTTCGAAGTGTAAAACGGATCGAACTGAAACTTCAGTGAGGTCGTTTTCGATCCACTTAACTTATCCAGTTGCTAGTTATATAATATTCATTATGCTATCTGAACACATTTTCTTGTGAAAAGTTAAATTATCCATATATATATACGTGGCCGATTACCAGTCAAAGACTTCTTTCTCGATTCGTGCAACCGAGATTAATTAAATTCGTTATCCGTTATCCGCCTAACTATATTTCCCTGTCTCTTCACTCACCGAAGATGAACATCAAAATAGGCACAGTGGACAAACAGGTCAGACATATAGTAAATGTCATCGTCTTGCTGATGACTCTCAAAGCGCGAAAGACGAAGTCGCAGATACCATTTGCCTCGAGATGAGCGTCTTTCAGCTGAAACACGACCGAGCCGTAGGTTGCTACACCGAGATTCGCAGCCTCTGTGTCACCCTTTTCGGGTGCCTTCACACCACTGGCGCAAAGCCGGCGCGACTCATCGCCTGAAAGCTGAAAGCATACGCAATAGCTCAAATCAGATTTTCTCCCATGTCATGATATAATATAATTTGGTCCTGGCGAATTCATTCATCTCATTCGTTAATAGCACATATATGATATTAGACTTTATTATGGAAAAAAATTCTCAAAGCTGTGAGAGACACATTTCAATTTTTATTATTATTTTTTTTTAACTTTTCTCTTTCTCTTTCTCTTTACATTTTTTATCTCTTATAATTTTATTTTAATAATATTAATTTAATTTTGTTTTATTTTATTTTCATTACCTTGTGCTAGTGTGCTTTGTCTGTATTTCGCTGATTACAGAGTAATGCAATTAGTGATGGAACAAGTTTTTTTCATCTTTCAGTGGGAATCCGTATTAACGCAGTTCGTAATTCAGAAATAAGAATTAACATGTATTCAAAGATTTTTGTATTTAAAAAATTCTTTTGAAAAAAAAACCGTATTTTTTTTTAATAATAAAAATTCAGTACTGTACAGAAGGTTTTTATACAGCAATTTAATCGCTGGTAAATGAAAGCCGATACTTTTTATATTCTACGAGAAACTCGACTTTACGGTACGCTTTAATTAATAGTTTTAGTACTTTTTATCTAACCGTGTCTCTTTGAAATGCGCAGATTTGGCGTCAGAGTTTAATTTATATTCCGTTCATTTTCCACATAACGTAGATTCAATAAACGATCCTGCAAGCACGAGCACAGCTTCGTTGAACGGTAGCAAATACATCTCTTCTTTCTCCATCGATTCTCGTTCTACGTTCTGCAGAATAAGATCCTTCGAGAGATCCTCGGGTAACGTGTACACGTCTCAGGTACGTTTTTCGCGCGGATAAAAGCACGGAAATAAGCTGCGGATGTGATATGTGCGAAAAAAATTTGAGCTGTCACGAACACGAATCAGAAGTATATGTCGGCACACTCTTCTGAATTTTCTATGCATCTTAATATTATAATTCTCACGAGAAATGATAGCATGCGCTTATAATAATTGCTTTAACATTTGTAAAATATGTCAGTTTTATCGTAGATATAAATTTTTTCTGCTCTTACCATCAAATCATAAAGCTAAAATATTATCGGTTATTTTTTATTTCACAAAAAAATCTCGAAAAAAGAAATTTCTTTAAAAAGTTTTTCTGAGAAAAATCATAAAGAAAAACACAAAAACGGTATTAAAACGGTATTTCTTTATTATTAACTTTTCTGCTTTGTTAAACATATTTATAGTTAGTTAAGCATATATATAGATATATCTTCACAGAAAATTCTTTTGTATTCATTATAGTTTTTCCATCAAAAGGCAATGAGCAAGTCAAGAATACGGGTGTGGAGGATCTCGTGAAGCTATCGCTTGTATCGTCATTCACTCGACCTCGCCTTGCGTGCTTTGCAGCAACATATCGTGCCACGTTGTGTCTGCACCGGAAAACCAATCAGAGTGCAATTTTAGATCGTTTTAAGCTTCTTTTTTAGAAGGAACTCTTCCATTGATAGGATAGTGTAATATACAAAGGAAATACATATTTTCATAGTTCGTGTAATTTAATAAAAAAATAAATGACTAATGACCTCCTAGAAATGAGGCATTATCATCGTAATCACATTATATATGCGATTAATGCAACACTTTTTCCGATTAAGTAAGATAAACTGTTTTCGGAATTAGTGGTTGTCTGTCTTTTTTCGCTTTCATTTCATGAACGGGTTCCCGGCTCATTTCCTGCTTTTATAATCGAACTTAAGCAAATTTTGCTATTAAAAATAAAATTGTGTAAAAAGTCGGCGAAGCCGACGTGACGTCCCCGGAGCAATAACGAAGAAAATTACTTTGAAGATTTTACAGGGATAAGCGACAAGAAAAAAAAAACGAGAAATAACGCTTTTACAAGGCTACCTCAATCGATTTTTGATTCAACAAAAATTTATTCGACAAGGAGCAACATTTTTAGAACGAAATTTTCGAACGAAAATTTGAATTTACATTTGAATCCATTTTTTATTTTATATTTACATATATGAATCTGTGATCTATGTACGTCGTGCCTGTAATTTAAAAAAAGTCCAGTACTATCTTCCAATAATTTCTTTATCGCACTTAAGAAAAAAACATTAATAAAATTAAGCTTATTAACACATTTACTTATATTGAGAAAAGATATATAAATACTTAAGTATATGTGGATACATATTTAACTTATCAATTTAATTATTTTTTTAATAATATAAAATCTTAAGAAATATTTAGATTTTTACGAAAAATATAAAATTTTGAAATTTTATTTTATCGTATAATAAAATTTGTAAAATTTTGTAATACTCTAAAAGACTCTAAGCGAAAAGTATTAATGAACAATAAGTACGTCAAACTAAAATAAAATATCATTCTCAATATCTGAAATAATATTTCAGTTGCAGTGTGAGAAAAATAATTTCGTAAAGATATGTTGTGTATTTGTGTCAAACTAATCTGCGTTCGGGAAAAGTTCACTTTTTGTTCCTCTTTTCACAACTCGTGGTTTATGAAAGTTGCCTTGTTAACGTACTTCCGGCGAATAAAAGAATATCCTTATGCTTTCTGCTTGCAACTGCTTCACTTCGTCGTAATTACCACAACGGATGATAAATGACAAATTGCAACTTCAAGTATGTATTGCTCGCGTTGCCCGAGTTGCTCGTGTTACTCGAGTTACCTGCGTATATAACCATTGAATCATAAAAATGGAGAGCATCCCAGTCGTCCATTTCCGTCATTCGAGTGAGAAATTCCGGAACACTCATAACACAATTGGGGCGTGCACCGTAATAGCGTGGCCGAGAAAGAAATTTCTTCAACGTTGCAGACCGGGAATTGCAACGGGCACGATAAGAGAGGAAGAGAAAGAGAGAAAGAGAGAGAGAGAGAGAGAGAGAGAGAGAGAGAGAGAGAGAGAGAAGGGAAAAAGAGAGCACAGTTACCTGTGAAACGGAGCTGCTAGCTCGCCTGGAATCGGCCCAGGCGTTCGTTCCATATCCTAGATTGACCTGTGCGCCACCGCTTCCGCCCGATCTGACGCTTCCCGAGCTCACTTCTCTTTGGCGATAAGGCGAGGAACTTCGGTTTCTCGTGCTCCCTGGACATAAGTGCAAATATTTGAATTTATCGACTACCTTTCAAAATTCTTGTGCGAGAAACATCTCGCAAAATTCTTTTATGATATCCCATGAATATTTATGAAGACATGACGAAGACGACTCGCGCTGGCGAAAGAATTGCAAAATAGTATGTGGTATACTTCGAACTACTGATATATTTTATAAAAGATATTTCTATTATTTTTTTTTATATACATCGATTGTAGTTTCTTTTCTGCGACCATGGGATGTATTGTCAAATTCTACATGTGAATTACAATTCGTGTGCAATTAGATTGTCAAAATTCTTTATGCAAATTTTACTTGGCGTATTTTCGTGTGTAATATCCAATTTATTTTTTACGTTTGAACTTTTTGTAATTATATTATTCTGATTTGTAGTTTTTGACTTTCCTTGTTTTAACACGTGTGCAACTAATGAATACTAGCTATATAATTGCAAACAATGACAAACAGCGCGCCAATTAACAATGTTAGTGCACAATTTAATTTATATTCTCCTTTTGCACGAATTTCGCTTGTGTAAAGAGACATCATGCAAATTTAGGCGATGAGATATCTTTGTCAACAAGCTTCCGTTTAATGCACGCTGCTTTACGTGATAAATCCACACTTTCAATTTACAGAATACGAATCCCATCTAATGGAGAGATTTCGATTATTGCGACATTCTTCGTCACAAAATTTATCGACTTCGCTCGCCTGATGGCGGTAGCTCGATAAACAAGTCTTATCGATTTTAGGGATGACAATCATATGGAAGGTGAATGAATTTAAACGATGAAACCCATAAAAAATGATTTAATACGTACATTATCGCTCATGAGGAAGTTCAGATATTCGCATAAATTTTATCGAATGATGATGTAAAAAGTTAAGATTTAAAACAGCAATTATATTATTTTTTAAATATATTTTAGATCTTATAGATCTTTAAATCACTTGTACACATACTAACAATTGCAAAAGCTTGATAAATTAGTTTTAATTTTGTATGTCAAAAAATATTGTCTTCATAAAACATATAATTGATAATACATATAATGGATAATTTAAAAAATTTGTTCAGAGAACACACATGTGGGCTCATGTTATGATATATGTTGCCAGTCTATCTCCATAGGTTAAAGATAGACTAGCAAAAGCTTTATAAATTATTTTTAATTTTATATGTTAAAAGCGAATTTTTGAAGTTTACCGATTATACTATCAATGTTCTACGAAATAAAGGTAAAAAACATTTTGACATATAAAATTAAAAATAATTTATGGAACTTTTGCAATTGTTAGTACGTATACAAGTGATCTAATATACATATATTAAAAAAATAATATAATTACTGTCTTAATTTTTTACATAATCATTCGATAAAATTTTTTGCGGATGTCCGAACTTTCATGAGCAATAGTATATTTGCATAATACAATATTATAATGCTTATTTAAATTAGAACAATTGTAAAATTATATATGAATTAATAATTATATTATGAATTATTTATTGTATATTTGCATTTTTACTGTTTCAGAATATTCAAGGAGAAATTCGTGCTTCGACTAGTTGATTTCGCCTGAGAGCGCACACGCAATCTTTCTTGCATCGCAACCGCGCGAAGTGGGTAAGTAGGCATTACGTATCAGACGCATATTTCAATCTCGTGACCGGTTTAATGTAGCTGCTACGTTAATAAATATAATATCATGTGCACGTGCGACAAAATCAGGCCAATTTGCGCGACCGAAACATAACCTTTTCTCGCGTTAATTATCGCTAGGATAAATTCCTCGTATTTACCTCACGTTTCGATTTCTTGTGGTTGCAGCCCCAAGAATCACGTCGATAAAAAAGCGGTCTTAGCATGCGGAGTTGTTAAGTTTCTTGTGGATTTTATCTCATTAGTGGAATATATTAGCGGCGAATTATCACCGCAAGATACATACATATCAGCATGCGCATATATCTAAGATTGTGGTAAACTAATTTGCATAGGTCGACTTAAGAGGTTTAATATTACTATATCAACATTGTATGTGGATTTTCTAACCGCTAATAGTAATTTGGCTCATGATATGTTCAACTTAATAATCTACACAGATTTGCCAAAAATGTGATCCGTAATTTATTGTAATCGATATAACCGTTACGATAAAAGCTGAATTTTTACGAGGAAGAAATAATTTATATGTTAAATTAAATATAAATATTAGTACAAAATCGTACCAACAGAAATTATTTTTATATTACTTAGTACACGAAAGAGACAGTTTTATTGTATCTAAATACAGATCTGAAAATAATTTTGGGCCATCAAAATAATTATATAAGATGTTCAAACTGATTAAATGTCAAAATTTTTTGCAACATTGTTTGAGATTCTACACTGTAAAAAATAAAATGTTATAATTTTAACTCAAAGACAAGAATTTTCTGAGACATACAAAAATGTTAAAATTAACATTTTTATATTAATTTTAACATTTTTGCATATCTCAGAAAGTTTACGTTTTCAATTTAAAATTAACATTTTATTTTTTACAATGTAATTATTTTCCAATCCAATATTTTTTATATATTTTATTTTTATATAAATATCTAGCTAAATTTACTTCAATAAAATCGTTCTTTCTGTATATTTTGCTGCACTTTAATTTTGAATGTCGTATTATACTTGTGATGCAATAATACTATTGAGAGATTGATGTGAAGTTCGAAGGTACTTTGCATTCGTCTGACCTGATTAAATCGTAATAAATTAACCGTGCGAGAATACAAGGAAAATGGAAACCTATCAATTGTTGTTTCTTAATGAAAGCTTTGCATTGGAATTGTCGTATCGACTTGTCGATATTATTTTACATTTCTTGGCAGATCCGTTCCTTCCGTGTGTAACGCTTACGTTATTCCGAGGCGCGAGAGTCTATTGCATCCGTCGCAGGATTTCAATGAGACGTATCGGGTGTGTAATATCGTATGCAATCGACACACGCGAGACTATATCACTCGGCGACCAATTTCCGTCATTCGAGATATATTATATGTGCCTATCACACTCGATGCTTTGAACACGGGAGAAATGAACGAAAACTAATCGGCCTCTCCGGAGATCTGACGTCGAGTTGTACAGTAATGAGCATCAAATTGCCATTACCTTCCCTAAGGAGAGAAGATATTTGCTGCTTCGAGATAGTCTCAACTTGTAAATGCGGAGATGTAAGGAAACGTTTGCATGGAATCTTGTTGGTGAATATTTTATGGGTTGTCTTTATATAAAACAGCTTCCCTTATAATTGCTCAAGCAGAAATTAAATAAAAGCATTGACTATTTTTAATTTTTATTCGATATAAAAGCAACGATTATTTTTAATGTTTATTTTGGTATGCGACACATGATAAAAATATCGATCTCAGTATAAGGTTATTATTATTTTTATCAAATGTCACGCTTTTATCAAAACTCGCTTTTCCAGCGGTTTCTTGTTAGTCGTAATTGTAATTTCTCGAGTCAATAACTGAACGAGCAATTGTTTTATTCTGTTATGTATATAATTGACATGTCATGCATGCAAGCACATTATTGGCATGATTTAACCGCATTTGCGGCAAATGCAAACGTTCCTTTGCATTGCGTTTCACCGTGACGCTATAATTTCGCAGATTGCATCTGTATTTCGATGCACATCACTGCGGTTTAAATACGTCCAAGGACCATATTTTCGCGACGGTTCCGTACGCATCAGTCGCAATTCGCGGAGACAAGTTTCCAACAATTCTAATATCTCGTAGTACTCAATTATTTTTAGTAGAAAATGTAATGTATAACTCGAAGTCTATAACTAATTTTTAATAGCAATCTTAACGGTAATTGTTGCTAGATGTTAAAATAAAAAAAATATGATATGTTTCATCCTATATGATTCTTCCAAGATAGTTTTTATTTCAATGATCCAGTAAAAAAAATTCAAAAATCTTAAATTCTTACCCTGATCTGCGGAAGCTCTTCTAGGATCTTGTAAGCCCAGATTGCCTCTTGGCGCCCTTCTATCTTGATGTCCTCCGAGACTACCCCTAGGACTTCTATTGATTCCCTCAGGCCCGATGCTTCCTCTGGGACTTCTGTTTTCGTCATCGTTAACAGCTCCGAGAGAGCCTTTCGAATGTCTTTCGACGTCGTTCATGCCTATGCTTCCGCGTGGTGATCGGTTTGTCTGATCATGCACGATCGATCCTCTTGGGCTTCTATTGCTGCTCTCCGGACATATCGATCCACGTGGAGACCGATTTGCGTCCGGCACTATCGATCCTCTAGGAGATCTGTTGGGATCAGGTGCGATGGAGCCGCGAGGACTCTGATTCAGACATTCTGAAACTATCGAACCGCGTGGACTTCTATCTGGAACCTCCATCGGCGTGATATTGCTCCTGGATACTCTGTGCAATTCCGGACATATCGAGCCACGTGGACTTCGGTCGAAATCCAAATTTGCCATGCTGCCTCGCGGACTTCTCGTCGTGTCCGGTACTAACGAATGTCTGGGACTACGACTAGCGGTCACGATCGCGTTACCATTTTCCGGTAAAAGGGATATTCTAGAGCCGCCAATCGCCACCATACTATTCCGTGGACTCCGATTATAGGCCACATCCGGTATCAGAGAATTTCTCGGGCTAAGTGCCGAGTCTGGCACCAGAGAGTGACGCGGACTAAGAGAGACTTCTGGCGTTAAACTGTTTCGCGGTGACCGCACCATATCGGGTACTAAACTATTACGTGGGCTCCTACTCGAGTCCGGTATTAGAGAGCCTCGCGGGCTTCTGCAGTAATCGTCAGGTATCAGAGAATTTCGCGGGCTGCGGCTCGCCTCGGGCGCCAGGGAGTTGCGGCCGGTACCATATTGTTCGGGATCCGGCAGGATCCTACGACAGACTCCCTGAAATAAAACATCATAAAGGATTATCTATTTAATTTTTAACAGAAGGAATAATTATTAGAGCAAGAATTAATTTTAATCGTATATGAAGTTTCTGTAAAAGAGACTTTCTTTTTCCTTTCACGTAAAAAATGTTCATCAAGAATGATAATAAGCTCGTAATTTCAGGAATTAGGTCGTTATTTTTCTCTTTACAAGTGTTTAGTTGTTTAAGTTAATTGATTTTTCTGATTTTACTTGGAAATTTTTGAATGTTGGAAATATGTATGTTAATATTATACGCATCCATATCTCTGCAATATATCTAATGTGTTTAATTAGCATAGGAATTAACGTGGGAATAAATTTACATTCGCACACACATATGAAAGAGCGCTACACGCTCGCGAAACATGTTAAAATACTCGATCGAAATAAACGTATTTTAATCATTTTAGCGATTGCTGTTCAAAGCCAACCGATAACTTCCGAAACGCATGCCTATGATGCGCCAATCATCTATTAATGAATAACATGTGATAGCAATCCATTTGCCCTGAACATTTCATGGTCTCAAAATTTCGTGGATAAACTGATGTGCAACATGCGTGACAAAAAATGCGTTTTCGATTTCATCGATGAATATACGCGGTGCTCATATCGATCGAGTACAAATGTCAAACGCCTGTACACTCGAGTATCCCTCGAGTAATTGAATATTTCGTATAACATTGCGTAGCCTGAGGGGAATAAAAAAAACAGAAAAAAAGAACGAAAATCTGCTGTATATTTCAAACTTGAAGCTCGGTTGACTGAGAATTTCAATTATTTGGAATTATTTTTTACGCTTTATGACTCTATATGCCAATAAAACTGTTCATCAAATTACTTAATCGTTATTCGGTTTTAAAAATATTAAACCAAATCTTTATACATCTTCTCGAAATGAATGAGTTTTCAACATATATGTTATATGTTTGACTTCATAACAAATTGAAATAATTGTTGTATAAACAAGAAATTCATATTTTATGTTATTATATATTACTGTATATTAAAAATAATAAAATAATAACGATTTGAATATATATAAAGAAATTATACTAAAAATATGAGAGGGTAAATACTAACTTCGTCGGGAGAGTCGCTCTCGGTATTCAGAGCGATATTCGGCACTATGCTACCCCTCGGCGATCGCTGCCTTTCCATCGTTCCGCCGGGGCTACTTGGTGGTAAGATGAGGGGTTTCTCAGTCGCTACGCTCGCTCGTCGACCTCGCATCGTCGAAGATGCCGGCTGACTTGAATTTACCACGTTTGGCGACGCTCGCCGGCGTCGCGACGAAGCGCTTCGATGTAACATCACGGAGATGTTCTCTCATCCTTTTGATACAAAGCATTTCTCATCTCATCATTCGTTGAATATTTCGTTAAAAGTATTTACAAAAATTATATTAGTCGACAAAATTTTGCTGTTAAATTGATTTTTATGTTAAATTAATCTAACAATATTTTCCTCATAATATTTTTTACTTTGATTTTAAACTTGTTTGCCAAATTTATGAGGAGAGTATAGAGATTTTTTAAATAACATGTATTTAAAAATTATCTTATCTACTCTTAAGTACAAATAAATGATGTACAGGGAATAACTCTAATGAATTCAACAGATTTTCTATTTATTATAAAAATTTAAAACAGAACTAAATTATTTTAATTAAGAAAAACGAGCTGTTATTAACAAAATATATAAGTTTTTAAAAGAAATATGTTACAAAAAATATGTTACAAAAAATTGAGACTTACAAGACAAATTTTACCTTTATTTTCAGAATTAACGTAAAAAAAATGCAATAAAAGAATTAGCGAAAGTTATTAATTTAACGAACTCATTAATGATCAATATTACTATAGAATTAGTATTAATTTTTAATTTATATAATATTAATATCAAATTACATTGAAAAGTTTATTAAATTTTAGTACATATTCCTTTGAATACTAGTAAGTCAATAGATTTACAGTAAATAAATATCTATTTAGTAAAAAAAATAGTTAAATCAAATTAATTTTTGTATCAAATATATGTTTAGGAAATATTTACTTAGAAATATTTAAATAAATATTTATAAAAATTTAGTAAAATTTTTTTTAGTGTAAAAGAGTTTTATGCGTTTTAAGCGATTTGGGAAGCACAACAGAGATCGTCACATTAATTTTTTTTTAATTGATTTAGAACAAA